ATATATATATATAAATATATATATATATATATGTATATATATATACATATACACACCCACACCCACACCCACACACACACACATATATATATATATATATACATATATATATATATATACATATATATATCTTTATATATATATATATATATATATATATATATATCCTTATATATATATATATATACATATATATCCATACATATACCCATATATACACACACATATATGTATATACACATATATGGTTATATATTTCTGTTTTTATATGTTTGTGTATTCACTCATGATGCTTCATCGTTTCTCAAGTCTGGTAGTATTCCAGGTAAGCACATATCGATGGGATTCTTGATATCATTGGAACGGATAAACGCATTGCTCATAGAATTGAGTCGCGGCGTACCTTTCTGTGCAAATATCTGGTGTACAAAATTTCATATATTATCGAATGATATCTGTCAACATTCACAGGCGCATGCCTTTTGTACTCACAGACGCAAGGTTTGATTCACTTTCCTATGCCTAATTGTTCGTGAGAGTTCGGATATCTTTGCTTTACGGTTGCCTGTTACATTTGCACACAGAATGTGCACCTCTGGTGACATAGTTTCTGCTACAGTTGCGTATCTCGCATTCCATTATTCTGATAACAGGCCACAGACCCATATCCCAATGAATGCAGATTCGGCATTCCCGTCACCTCGCGTCTGTTTGTTACATTTTTGTTCGTTTGCGATTCGAAGTTGTGGACTTAAATTTACAACCTTTTTATACAATTTGGTTGGTATTGCTGGATCGGTTCCCGTAGTTCAGTGTGCGTATAGCGAGTCCTGCTCTATCATTCATCATTGGTGTCTCCTCGGGAATACGTATTCTGATTGTAACGATAACAGTGCAAACTGTCAGTGATAAATGCCTCGTCATTTCAGCCGTGTTTGAATGCGGGAGCTTCAGTGTACGGCACTCAGGAGTAATATAATGATTTGCCTCAGCGTGTCTAAAGGCAACCATGGACCTCTTCTGACATTTGTGAGACATTCGACTATTCCTATTGATTTCCCTTTACTACTACAACTTTTAACAGCGTCGTGAGACACTCCTGCCAAGTCTGAAAAACGAACACAAAGTGAACCAGTTTGTCGACAGACGTTTTGGTGAGCAAGATGAGACGCTCACGGCCGAAGAGAAAATGCTCAAACGATTCGCTGTGGAGAGGCAGAAACGACGTGAAAAGAGTGCCGTCTATAACCTGGGTGACGGTAAGTGTAGCTAAGCGGCGACCAGTGGTAGTGTTTGTGTATAGTGTGCACCTGGTACAGCTCATGCGTGGTATTGATGTATGCATGTACAGGCGCACATCAAGATCACGGATGAGTTGCTTAGAAGGCGTACTTGTGCCTCCAATTTGACAAATGCGAAATGCTTGTGATTATTCCTTTTGGTATTGCTACAGCTGAATCAGCGTTCTGGAATGAGGTACTTCGTTATTGATAATTTGATGGTTGTGTGGCGGCTACCATTACGTCCTCAGCACAATACAAAAGGTCGCTTTGTTCGCTGTAAATAACAACGATTGCAAGCTGTAAATAACGAGCTGGCGTAGATACATTTACACAGATTCCTCCCAATGGAGAAGGTAGTGAGAGGGTAGGTGAGAGCTGCCACCTGCTAGTCAAGCTTGAGTTCATTGTATTTTGCCATCTTATGAGTTATGTTGCGCATGTACCACACAGATGGCGCCGGTGTGGGAGGCAGTTTGGGCAACCACACGACTATGAGTGAAGACGAAGAGGAGGAGATGTTTCTGACCCACGGCGGACGCTCACTGGCTGAGATCGACGACTTTGATGAGCGAGACTTGCGACTGTCTGATGATGAAGAGGTCGATGGAGACACCCGGTACAACACAGAGCTGCACTTCGGTGGCTTCGAGAAGGAGGTAAGGGTTGCGGTTGGTAGGTATATATTCTGTATGTAAAGGCAGATGCAATAGTTTTGTGAGCTCAAAGATGCATGTGCTGACGTACCGAAGGTGGGTGTTCAAGTATAAGTGACATAGATCTATATATTGTGGGAGCTGGAAGGGAGTGTGCGTACGGAAGGTTGATAGTGGGTGCTCAGAGCACTGCAAGCTGGTTGGCTGTTTTTGTAGTGACAACATTTTGTCGCCTGTCTCCGCGAGCTATCGCTTCAGTAATCGAGTATGGAGTACTAGGGCTTTTGAAAGGCATAAACTGAATGTTATACACACAAAACGGTTATTGGACATGATTGTCGTATATGGGTACTTCCTTTTACATACATGAATGTGAACGGAAACATGTTGAGATGAATTTTTAAGAATTTGAGCTCACTCGACCGACCCCTAACTCACTATGCACAGTCCGAGCGCAAGCCTGGCGACAAACCGCTCACGCGCAAAGAGATTATGATGGAAGTGGTCAAGAAGTCCAAGCTGTATAAAATGGAGCGCCAGAATGAAAAGATCGAGAATTTGGAGAAAATCGAGGAGCTGGATGATTACCTGGGGGAGATTATGAAGGAAGGCCGACTGCACGTGCACACAGACGACACGCGCGAAGCAGAGAAGAAGGTCAACCGAGTGGACAGGGACGATTACGATTTGTCTGTGCGTGCATTGGCGTATGAGCTCAAGGCGAAGGCGACAGATCGGTAGGCGTTCAGTGTGGGTTTGTGCGTATTATGGCGTTGTGCAGGTGCGTGTTGAATACTTTCCATCTCCTATTAGACCTAGTGAGTACTTTCCACCTCCTATTGGACCTATGGGCGTACTGCATGTTGGCAGTCACGTGTCGGAGGTTGTGTGCTTTGCAGATGAGATGAGATGATGCCCTTCAAGCTTCAACTGATTTCAATACACAAGTCTCTCCGTGCATCGTTGGGGTCTTGTCCATCATCGTTCTATTGGCGCCTTGTTAAGTTGTCTTTATACTTCTTTGCCACACTACAGTCTAAAGACAAATGAAGAACTCGCCACAGAAACTCCTTGTTAAGTTGTCTTTATACTTCTTTGCCACACTGCAGTCTAAAGACAGATGAAGAAATCGCCACAGAAGCTTTGGAAGAACTGCGCACCCTCGAGGCCAATCGGTTGCGCCGCATGCGTGGGGAGGCCGTGCAGGTGGACTCCAAGTCAGTCAAGAAGCACACGACGCAGAGTGCGGCTGCGGCTGCCTTGGCTCTGCAGTCTGTAGAAGACCTGGATGGTAACCTGATGCTGGACAAGGATGAGAATGAGGTGTACTATGAGAACGGCCAGATGATGTACAAGGGCAAGGAGGTTGATCTGTCGAAGGGACTGCCGAGTGCGTACGGTGGTGAAGGGGTGACAAGCAGGTGGGTGGGTGCGAACAGAGCGCTATTGTTTGTGTGCAATATATGTATATGGTCGCAATTTTCACGGGTTTGTTATGTTGCATAGTAACGGATAATTAAACCTTGGCTGCGATATATAAGCTAAGGATGTGAGGTCTTCAAGGTACCAACGACATTTTCGGGTGTGGAGCAAAATTGTGTATAGTGACATTGATCGCGAATGATAGCCGTACGTAGTACTAATTGTGTAATCGATTTGGAATTAAGAGTGGTATTCGGTCAACGAGACAGGGGTCGACTATCACGTCGTGCACCTGGAAGCTATTGTTGGTACGTGGGTCTATATTTGCTACTCAATTTTAACCTCGTGGGGTTATATTTGCTACTCGGTTTTTACCTCGTGGGTTTATATTTGCTACTTGATTTTAACCTCGTGGGGTTATATTTGCTACTTGATTTTATCCTCGTGGGGTTGTATTTGCTAATCGGTTTTTTACCTCGTGGGTTTATATTTGCTACTTGATTTTAACTTCGTGGGTTTATATTTGATACTTGATTTTAACCTCGTGGGTTTATATTTGCTACTTGATATGAACCTCGTAGAGACGAGATGGTGAGCACTTATATTAGTTACAATTCGTAAGGATTATATGGGAGGGGTGTTGACGTCAGTGGCACGAATATATCTGTTCACCGTTTATTGATATGACTTAGTAAGGCACATAACCCTTTGCACCCATCACGATCTATCTTTGTCATTGAACAACTATTCCCTATCATGCGGAAACCATGACAACAGTGAGGAGGAGGGCGAGGGCAGCGCAGAATCAGAGGCCGAGGACTGTGCGGACGAGAGTGGTGGAGAAAGTGACGAGGAGCAAGCTACCAGCGGACAGGCGAATGGTAGCGGATATGTGCATGTCTCACAGTTATGCAGCAAGATGGGTACAAACACTTACACTGCTACCGATAGATAAGTTTAAAGGGTTGGGTTCGTTTTGTTAAAATAGACACAATGTTGGCAGAGCCGCAACTCTGGCTCCTATGCCTGTCTGTGTTGTTTGTCACATTAAATGTGCACTGAAAAGAGTTTTAGATTGGCTCAGATATATAAGTAGTGCAGCTTTTTGAGATATCATGTGTATATGCATTCTTCTTATACAAGACATCGTACCCTTTGTGGCTGCTTTGTGTAGGCGAGCGTGGCAGTGATGAAGAGGAGGGCAGCTCAGAAGGTGAGAGTGAGATGGACAGCGATGTGGCTGACAGCGGCGACAGCGGCGACGACGAACCCAAAGCAAAGGTACATGCACTGTGCGCCTGTGCTCGTGCTTAGTGCCTCCGCCTGTACTGAGCTCCCTATGCTGTTCTTTCGCATTGTGTGTCCCTGTCAGTCTCTGCCATCTTTAATCGCTGTTGCATCCTCCCGTGCAAACCACGTGTGGTGTTTCCTGTGGTGTGCTTCCAGTTGTTTGCCGTTTGCTGGCTTCTGGCCTGTTTTCTTGTCTTTCGCAGTAGCGATTTTTAGTGCTGTTTGGTTATTCATAGTATGTGCGTACACCCGTCTGTATATAGTCTTCTGTGTATAGTTCACTGTGTACAGTCCTATGTGTATTGTCGTGTGTATAGTCCGGTGTGACTAGTCCTCTGTGTTTAGTCCAGTGTATAGTCATCTGTGACTAGTCCTCTGTGTATTGTCCACTGTGTATTGTCCAGTGTGTATAGTCCTGTGTGTATAGTCGTCTGTGTATAGTCGTCTGTGTTTAGTCCTCTGTGTATTGTCCAGTGTATAGTCCTCTGTGACTAGTCCTCTGTGTATTGTCCACTGTGTATAGTCCTGTGTGTATAGTCGTCTGTGTATAGTCGTCTGTGTGTTGGCTGGTCTGCTATAGTCGCTCCTGTTGCTACGCTATTTGTCGTGCGACGTTCTCTTGTGTTCATTTCCAGATTATACTCTCTGTGCTACTTTGTACTTAACTTGTCTTATATTTTTTAGACTACTTTGTACTTCACTAGTGTTCTATTTTTTTTAGCTACTTTGTACTTCACTTGTCTTATATTCTCTGGACTGCTTTGTACTTCACTGGTCTACTATTTTTTGAGCTACTTTGTACTTCATTAGTCTTATATTCTCCGGGCTACTTTGTACTTCACTAGTCTTCTATGTTTTGAGCTACTTTGTACTTCACTAGTCTACTATTTTTTGAGCTACTTTGTACTTCGTTAGTCTTATATTCTCCGGGCTACTTTGTACTTCACTAGTCTTCTATTTTTTGAGCTGCTTTGTACTTCACTTGTCCTATGTTCTCTGGGCTACTTTGTACTTCTCTAGTCTTCTATTCTTTGAGCTGCTTTGTACTTCACTTGTCCTATGTTCTCTGGGCTACTTTGTACTTCACTAGTCTTTTATTGTCTGAGCTGCTTTGTACTTCACTTGTCCTATGTTCTCTGTGCTACTTTGTACTTCACTAGTCTTCTATTCTTTGAGCTACTTTGTACTTCACTTGTCCTATGTTCTCTGGGCTACTTTGTGCACCTGCTGTGTGCCATCTACTGTTTATTGATCATGGTATCTCACCTACACTCACCATTTTCAATTCACATTCTCTCGTTGTGTGCTGATCATGCCTTGAAATCATCACCCACCCGAAGACAAAGAAACGTCCAGCCCCACTGACGGCGAAGCAACGCAAAGAGATCGCCGCCGCAGCAGCCAAGGAACTGCCATACACTTACAAGATGCCTGAGGACATCGAGGGCTTTGCTGGGCTGCTAGCAGACCACACAGCCACTGACATCTTGACCATTATCTCGCGCTTGCGATCGTGCTACCATGTGTCCCTGACGGCTACCAACCGAGAGGCGTTGGGCACTCTGTTTGGGTTTGTGGTGCAGTACGCCATGGCGGTGGCGGGAGGGGACATCGATCCAGCGGTTGATGCGGACAGTGACGGCGACATGGAAGCGCAGGTGTGTGGTGTAATGGCACGGAAGCGCAGGTGTGTGTGTGGTGTAATGGCATGGAAGCGCAGGTGTGTGTGGTGTAATGACATGGAAGCGCAGGTGTGTGTGTGGTGTAATGACACGGAAGCACAGGTGTGTGTGGTGTAATGACATGGAAGCGCAGGTGTGTGTGGTGTAATGATATGGAAGCGCAGGTGTGTGTGTGGTGTAATGACATGGAAGCACAGGTGTGTGTGTGGTGTAATGACATGGAAGCGCAGGTGTGTGTGTGGTGTAATGGCATGGAAGCGCAGGTGTGTGTGTGGTGTAATGACATGGAAGCGCAGGTGTGTGTGTGGTGTAATGACATGGAAGCGCAGGTGTGTGTGTGGTGTAATGGCATGGAAGCGCAGGTGTGTGTGTGTGGTGTAATGGCATGGAAGCGCAGGTGTGTGTATGGTGTATTGTCAACTCATTTTTATCAGCGACACGGGTAGGTGGGCCTTCGTTGACGTGTGTGCGATAGAAGCACAATGGATTCAGCTCACGTGCACGAAAGGAGTAGAACAGTGCAATGGGAATTGCTTGATCCTGAACGACTGCGAAATTCATACTGGGCTACGCTACAAGTATTCTATATCTGACCATAAATGTTATGCGAGTCATTAGTGTATATGCACATCCTTCGGCTTTGTTTTGTTCGCTTCGGCCCCAGTCTGCGGTGTGTTTGCTGCCTTGTGTTGGTGTATTAGTGCGATGTATTGGCTTGGTATTGGTTTGATCTTTTACAATGCGCATTTCATAGCCCTATACTTGACATTCCATTTCGGCGATAGTGTTGAGCACTTTTCCAATGCTAGTATACGCGCGAGTGCTTGCTTTTGTAGCTCATGTATGTGCCTGTGCATGCTGTTTCGCCTAAGCACTCGGTAAGTGGTATTCAGAGTTCTGCTGTGGCATTCGTGTTCGCTACCATTGTTCATACTCGCCAATATACGAACAATTCTCTGTTATTGGGAATATTTGGACCGAGCTGATATACTGTTGAAATCTTGGACAAATCATCTACCCTGACACTGACACTAGCAATGCCACTGACACTGATACTGACACCGACTATTGTATCTGCGCAGGTGGTGGCTCTATTGGATGGGCTGAGCCTGTGTCTCTACGAAATGGCCGTCATCACACCCACAGCCGCCTGCGAAGCCTTCAGACACCATTTGAAGCAGGCTACAGATTATCTCACCAGTGTGGGCAAGAAGGGGAAGGGAGGAACCAGTTCCAGGAAGCGGGTCATTTTAGGGCCTATTCTGTACCTGTTGAGACTTGTGATGCTCTTGTTCCCAGTGTCAGATCTGCAACACCCTGTGACTACGGGGGCGGCAATGCTCATGTCCCAGATATTGACTGTCGTCGTACCAAGGTATGTTTGCTGCGTATATGTATTTAGGGAGTATATGTTAATATATTCCGATTTAATATTCGCACTTCATAGACTGTCGCAGTATCTCCCCTGGGAACAACTGAAAATAACGCGTCCTCTGCAGTTAGCCCTTTTGTGCATGCATGAAAAAAGAGTTGCATACGTTATCCACCTCACACACCCCATTGCACACATGGACCTTTTGTGTGCAAACTTTCAATCATTCATTTCTAGTATCGTCTCGTCTTATTCTTCAGAAATCAGTCCGACTTGAGCAGTCAGTTGTTCTGTGCGTCTATGCTGGGTCAGTTTGTGGCCGAGTCCCATCGCTTTGTACCGGCAGCCGTCAACTTCATCACAGGTGTGGTGGGTGGCTTTGCCCTAGGGAATGACTGGTCCACAGAACTTCCATCACCTGAAGTCGAGTCTATAGTAGACAATAAACCAGGAGAGGCCGAGGCTGAAGCCGAAGTCGAGGCACCCAAGAAGACGTCCAGTAAGAAGAGAATACGCGCGCAACAGTCCAGCGCGAAGGCAGACGGTAACAGTGCACAACAGAGTGTAGAACAACCGAGTGCGAAGCGATGTGGGGTGTGTGCGCGGTCGTACTATGCCATGTTGCACCCGACTGCGGCGAAGGTGCCTGGTCTACTGAAGATGGATGACATTGACACGTGTCAGGAGTTGGAGATTCAGAAAATGGCGTTCAGGGACTTGCTAGTGCTTGGTATGTGCGTGTTTACATGACTGTGTAGGTCTAGTTGCGATGTGTGGGGATGGATGCATTGTATAGATCACTTGTCATCCGATTCTTTTGCCAGTTTTGTGTGAATATAATTTGCCATGCCATACATAGCGTGCATATCCGCTGATATGGCGAGTGTGACTCCTCTACGCCTAGTGATGAGGATTTCATTTCAGTTACTATTATTGAAGTGAAAGATCAGATAGGTCTATGGCTAGTGTGACAGATAGCTGAGTGTGATTTGTCGTGTAAATGAATAAGATACAAGGCCTGTATGACAGTAAAAGCATGTGCCTGCCTAGTGCATGATCTTCCATGGGTATATGCACAGACACCGATGCGCAGCAAAGCCAGTGGGTAGCGGTATTTGTGCTCAACTTGATGAGGGGCGTCTTTTAAACACATAGGTACATATGTATGTTTAGATGCACACATGCACGTATATAGTTCATGTGTGGTTGGCTACGAATCTATGTTGTAGTTGTTGAGCTCGAGGCTGCACTATAGCACTCGCCAGACGGGGATGGTGCTTCCGAGTGTCAACACGTGTTGTTGTAGTTTGCAACGATGATTAACCAATACGTCATCGTACAATGCTCGTTATTCTCAGGCGATGACGATGGAAGCTTTAGCACTGACGGGGTGAGGCTGAACACATTATCCGCAGCCGTGGACTTGCTGGCGCATTTCACGACCATATACAGCACATACAAGTGCTTTGACAGTCTATTCCAGCCAGCTGCTCACCATCTAAAGCATATAATCGAACACACACAGACCCTGCCGGCTGATTTGAAGGTGTGTGTATAACGCGTGAGATTGCGAGGGTGCACGTTAGGATGTCGTGACATGTACATGTATTGGCTGTGTTTATTGTTCATTGAACGCTGGGTTGTGGGTCTATGCGCTTGAACTTGCAAAGTAGAGCGTGTTGAGAGACAGCCTGCACATCAATGTAACTTTCGCAAATGACTTGAAAGTATTCAATTGGTTAGCAGGTGAATGAGGACCACACGGTTGCCACATACACTCGGCAGATGAGCACGTTAACTTGTGGTGTATCCACACTTCAGAGATAGGCTGTGCCATCAGCACCCGTTGTCGGTCTGACAGTTATAAGAAACTTTCTAAATAGTATCGATTGGGTTCGTTTCTAAGTAACGTTCTTAATATTGTTAATTGGGTTGGTTTCTAAGTAACGTTCTCAATAGTATCGATTGGGTTCGTTTTTAAGTAACGTTCTCAATAGTATCGATTGGGTTCGTTTCTAGGTAACGTTCACAATAGTATCGATTGGGTTCGTTTCTAAGTAACGTTCTCAATAGTATCGATTGGGTACGTTTCTATGTAACGTTCTCAATAGTATCGATTGGGTTCGTTTCTAAGTAACGTTCTCAATAGTTATGATTGGGTTCGTTTCTAGGTAACGTTCACAATAGTATCGATTGGGTTCGTTTCTAGGAAACGTTCACAATAGTATCGATTGGGTTCGTTTCTGCTGTCGCAAGTCTCATGCTCAGCCCCAAGACATGTCGGATGATTGTTGTGCTTGTTGTTGACATCCCTCACACACACGCACAATAGAATCGAGAAGCTGGTTGTCTACGCTACAGCACACAGTTGGTACTGACATTGGATTGAGTGATATTTTTTAACACGCAGTTGGTACTGACATTGGATTGAGTGATATGTTTTAACACGCAGTTGGTACTGGCATTGGATTGAGTGATATGTTTTAACACGCAGTTGGTACTGGCATTGGATTAAGTATATGTTTTAACACACAGTTGGTACTGACATTGGATTGAGTGATATGTTTTAACACGCAGTTGGTTCTGACATTGGATTGAGTGATGTGTTTTAACACGCTGTTGGTACTGATATTGGATTGAGTGATATGTTTCAACACACAGTTGGTACTGATATTGTATTGAGTGATATGTTTAACACACAGTTGGTACTGACATTGGATTGAGTGATATGTTTTAACACACATTTTGTACTGACATTGGATTGAGTGATATGTTTTAACACACAGTTGGTACTGACATTGGATTGAGTGATATGTTTAACACACAGTTGGTACTGACATTGGATTGAGTGATATGTTTTCGGTTCACTAACCCGTTGCATTGGTACTTGCAACAGAATCGAGCGATTTCTTTGGACGCCGCACTCACCAAGGAGACCGCCAACTGTGTGATGAATCGCGCTCATCTGATGCTGCAGAAGTTCAAGCCTGTTGCTCTCAGACAATTTAACCCCAAGTTTGAGGACAGGCATGTATCCCATATCAATGTACAACATATCAGTCGAGTACTATTTAGATGTTTGGTGTGCACCTATGTGGCTTTGATTAAATGCGTAGAAGCGATATCGTCGACACCTGTTTTCATCGCTGGAGGTGCCTATAGCCCACGTCAGTATGTGTAAAGTGGATGTGATAAGAACTGATGGGGTGTGCTGACGATTCAGTTATTGACTTGCGTGTGCAATGGGCTTCAGATACATGTCTGGTAGAGCGTGACGATTCGTGTAGAACCTTTCTCGAAGTGTACAGTATATTTTAAAGTACTGCTTGATTTCATTTGATAACTACACACAGAGAAGAGCAGATATATGCTAGAGATATGGGCGCACGCACACGCACGCAACACCTCTCACGTACATGGAGGTATCAGTATGCACTTGTCGTTCACGTAGAGATAGTTTGTTAAGCTTGCACATCTTTTTGGTCTCACATCCACAGGTACATGCATGGCATGAGCTTCGATCCCGACAAGGACAGGCGCGAGAGAAAGAAGCTCAAGTACTTGCACAAGCAGGAGCTCAAGGGCGCGAAGCGAGAATTGAAGCAGGACGCACAGTTCATTGCCAGACAGAAGCTCAAGGACAAGATGGAGGCCGACGAAGACAGGAGCCAAAAGGTCAAGCGGCTGTATGGCATCCTGCAGGACTCACAAGCAGAGGGCAACTCGCTCAAGCGCATGAAGAAATAGGAGACCCACGCAGCAATAAACTTAGAAATCCGCTATCTGATACTGGGTCAGGAAGGAACTTGTTTAGATTGTCCTAGTTTTCAGAATGAAACCCTACAAGCTACGATATGTCTGCCACCTATCCCTCGGATTTGTGTTGGGAGTAGCGACCGATTTCACATTGGTCGTACTGTTGCGCCATGCAAAGTGTTGAGAGACTATCGGATTAAGAATCTACGCAGTATATTGAACACTCCCATTGCCTTGTGCACTCATTAGAATCTGCCATTGTACGTATCGCACTCCACCAAGCTATACATTTGTACTAGTTTACTTGTTTCGCCTACAGTGGACACACGGAAGTGGTGGAGTGTGTCGTACAAAACATTTTAAACTATTTCTCTGGCTCCGTATTTAATGTGGTATCCTCCCACACTCGAACGATTCCAACGCAAAGTGCCGAGGCTTCCTTTGAGATCACCAGTGAGCTTTTTCTAATATACCCGGATGAGTACAGTGCATATTGAATCCCGTTGTCTAAGGAGACTGCACGGGAGGTTGTGGTCCGTACAGAACATACTATAGACTACACACTTCCCCTGCTTCGTATACCATTCTTGCATTCAGTACACAACCGCCCACCACAAAACTCATAGGGGTGTGGCATTTGTATGCATGCATTCAGTACACACCCGCCCACCACAAAACTCATAGGTGTGTGGCATTTGTATGCATGGCATTCAGTACATACCCGCCCACCACAAAACTCATAGGTGTGTGGCATTTGTATGCATGGCATTCAGTACATACCCCCCCCCCCCAACCACAAAAATCATAGGTGTGTGGCATTTGTATTCGGTACATAAGAAAATCCACACAAATTTCTTGATAGCTATTCTTAGACATACTCAGCCATAGACATCTATTTTTAGTTATTCTCAACCATAGATGCCTAATATGAGACACTCAACCATAGATATATATTCTTACACACATTCAACCATATTTATATCTATTCTTATACACTCTCACCCATAGACAGCTATTCTTAGACATTCTCAACCATATATATCTATTCTTAAATATTCGCAACGATAGATTGGAGCTAAGCTCCTTGTACATGTTCGTATCTATTGCATACTATAATATCCTCAAGAGGGTATGTATAAGTCGCCCCAGATGTGCCACCATGCTTGCACTGTTTCTGTCAGTTAGGTAGCATTCTATAAGTATGAAAATGCAAATTTGAAAGTCAAGCTTGTTTTTAAGCACTCTATACAAGACCCTGGCAACATAGTAGTTGTGGGCTCAGTCATGTTGATTGACAGCAGTTCAACGGGATTGTACAATTTATCAAGACTCAATACATTCAAAGTCTCAACTGGGCCATATAAAAGGCTACTTCTAACGACTGAAGGGCAAACCTCCTGTTGCTCTCCTGAGTACAAAAATATTCTAAAGTCAAAAGCCGTTCACTTCGCACACTGCTGTGCTCTCGTTGATAACCCCGAGTGATTAAATAACTGATTCATTCTCTGTGATACATAGCACAAGAGTCACAGAGTGATCACTGATAATAGGTCGCGTGTTAGTTTAGAAGACTGTCGTGCCTGACAATATATTTAATATATGACATAATCAATTTCATCATGAAAGTTTCTAGAACAGTTTGAACCAGAAATTCTGATTGGCCGATCCGCGATGTTATCAGAAAAGCGCGGGCGCTCTTTTATTCAGCTAATCACAGTTGCGAATTTGCGATCGTTTTGTGGGATTGCTGATGTGAACACGTGTATCATTGTGTATATATTCTTTATGTATGCACTTTAGTTATCACCATGACGGACCCCCTCACTACAACCCCTATACTGAGTGCTGTAACCATGACATACGCATACGATAGCCTCAAAATGTGGATGTGTGTGAATTGTGTGTATATAATGTACCGCTTGAAGCTGGTGTATCATTCTGAATTTTAGCATTTTCATGAGAGGCAAAGTGACTTCTAGGAATGTCCATCTACCTGTCATAGCATGTTAATCGTGAATTGATTTGAGTCATGTAAACCATAAGTATATACAAGTTTTACATATACCTATTATTAGCACGAGAAAATTGAAATCTCAAGTGAAGTTCTCTGTCTATGAATTTTTTTACTGCGAAACGGAGCTGAATCCCGCGAATAGCTCCAGTATTGTCGTGCGCTGTGTATTCATGAGTGTGGGGGTCCAGTCACAAGACTTAGAGTGTGTTTATAGGAAGTGATAACCAACAGAAAAGGGTTCATTCTGCCATTGTTGACGCAATGGCCGTTATCAGAACAGATGTCATGTTGCGAGGGGTGCTAAAATATGTTGGGAAGTACCGATATCAAACGTGTCAGCATATATCAGAATATAAAGCACGAGATGACCCAACGTCGACCCCACCAATTGAATGCACAGCGGTATATCAGTTGATATCAATTACATATTCTTACTCTTTCTACGTCACTGAGGTGGTCGATAGCTGTCATTCGTCGCTGTACAGCTGTTTAGGCTACCTCGGGAAATTTTATGTTGTGGGTTCAGTAAGTAAATATCACAACAAGTACCACTGCTAAGTTTCATAATGGGAGAACTAAACAACACGCCCTACAACACAAGACATGAAAGTAGGGGGTATCGGCATCCCTGTTGCTGTTCTACGAGCAATATTCCCAACCTTAGTTAATTCTACCCTACAATTACAGGATAGTCCCCAGCCACAATTGGTAGCGTTGTTTCCTTCTAACCTTAGTCGTTTTAACTAAGCCCATGCTGCTTCACACCCATTGTGATACAGTGATATATCTCATTTGATCAGTTATTCTGTTAAGAATCGCTTCAAAACACTGACTTGTTGCATAACGCACGTATCGACTTGCTTCGGACCACAACACTTACGCACCCTTGGAACACACACAGTTGCCCCTAGAATATTGTAACATTAAGATAAACCAAGTGAAATATCTTGATGGTGATGGCGAAGAAGCATAGGTCTCATAATTGTCATATGTAGATGCTGTTGGTCTCATTGTAGGGTGCCTACAACAGTGACACCACACAACATCGACACACACAAGCAGCAGAGCAACCACGGGTGGCCAGGTTCCCAAATAGATTGTTCACACTATAAATTCAATCTACGCTGAGCAGCCCTGATAGGCATCGGATAGCTAAGCAATACTTCGAACACTGCCATACCCCAGCATATACTCGGTGAACAAATTGCTCGCAGTATGCAGGGCCAATCCAGTTCGCCAACGACAGCGGATGACCTGAGTCCATCGTCGTCGCTCTCTGAGATGCGGTTGTGCGAAAGCAACTCCGAAAGCAGCGCATCGCCATCCCAGCTAAGTGACACGCAGTCTATCTCCGAGGCCATAGAGGACGTGTCACCCTCAGGGGCTGATGACGGCTTGCGCACCTTGCCGTCACTTAAGGCTACCGTGCCCTCTGTGGACGCGTATGCCTTTCCTCCGCAGACGAAGGGTGAGGGGTGCGTTGAGAGGTCACATTCACACTCAGGTGTGGGTGATGAGAGTGTTGGAGGAATCTCTGATACTGGACTGTATTTGGCCACACCAACCGCAAGTGGGCTGGACGCACTCGCCAGCTGTCCTGACCAGGCAAAGATACCACAAACGACAGACGAGCCTGAGTTCCCCATTACACCTGACAAAACTGATATGGGAACCCCACCGGAGAACATGCGCGCAAGCAGCACACCACTCAGAGATGTCACTGTGGGCGATTACATGATCACAGAGCTTCCATTGATCGCACCCACAAGTACCGCTACTACGGACAGTATTCCAGCCAGCTCAGCAATACTCTCAAGTACTGCTACGTCACAGGAGAGAATACTGCCAAATCAGAGCCTGCAACAATTCTCCGATGAGACTCCGGGCGTGTGCAGCACCGACACCACAAATGGCGCCTCGAATGGGCGTTCCACCGCGAGCACATTGTTGGTAACAGACAATGGTCAGGAGGTGTCTGGGGGCGATGCGAGGGCAGACACTCAGCTTGACTTAGACTCAAGTGAAGAGATCAGCACTCCATCAGCTAGTTCCGACGAGGAGATGAGTGGATACGAGGTACGTGAAATTGGTTTGATGCACGTGTAGGTGAAATTAATTCGGTACTCTCGCTTGCAGGACCGGAATCTAGTTCCTTCAGGCATTGTTTCCGACACATATATTCAATGACATGATTATAGATCCTGTGTGAGATTATGCTTATGGCATTAATCCTCTGAGCCGTGTCCTCATTCGCTTGACCGTGTATCAGAGAACAAGTTTCTGCACGTAAACATGCAGCTCGGACAATTAAGTAGCTTTTTTAACGTAATCAGTATACATGACACATGAAATCTGAGTAAGCAGGCAAATGTACTTATTCATACAGTTCGTCTTAGTGCCAATGCTTATACGTGACGCAAACCGCTTCTCATCCTTTGCACCCGTTTGCTTGCTCTATACGATTACCCTTGCATTTTCGGGGCACAGTGATACTAGTGTTGCGTGTTGGGTCATGGTGTTTATGATAATGTGCTATGTATATGATTTACTCAGGTCGATAATATCACTACACGTAAGTGTTCTCGTTTAATATATTTTTAGAGCGTCTACATAAACATGTACTTTCAAAGTTTATGTGCTTGTTTGACTCGTCGATCTTCTCGCCTCAAGTGCCTTGAAGTTGTTTGATAGCCTAACCCATTATAGTACAAGCGCTTGCACAGGAGCGGTCCAGCGAAATACAAGCGCGGAATGTCACCACATCCCGGTATCAGTATTAGCAAATATGTCATATTGCACCTACGATACGGTACAATTGCGGTCGTTAGTTCCTCTTCGCAGTATAATAGGTGTACAGCAGTGGTCTTGAACATTAGTGATATAGGGGCCTGTGTGGCACCACAGTTCATTCGTACCGTGTGTATCTTTCCCCTAATTCATGGTCAACTGCTTTGTTTCTGCCTAATTCAATCACTCTCGCAATCGTTATATCAGCTGAAAATATTGGGAATACCCACCAACGGCATCAGGACACGTGTGGAAACGCAGATCAATCTGTGTCTGGAGTTGGTTGCAACGGATGGTCGGCCGTTGTTTGAGAAGTTGCATATCGATCAGAGACTTGTGAGCAAAACCTCGCAGATGGTAGGTTGCTACTTCGCCATGGCTGTGGTATTTCAATAGAAATAACTCTAGAACAAAGGTGTATCTTGGTACCTTTGTGACTCTCACACTCCTCATTCTTGCATTTAATGTCCCTGTTCGACATCACGTTCAAAATCATCACTACACATGCACATATACCAAGTTGTAAGACTGCGCACGTGTACACCCGATGCAACTGTCTGTGCCTTTCTCAGTTTCACCTGTAGAATCCCGCAAGCTATTCATTTGCACAAATAGAAAGGGGTGTACTCTTACTCGTGCGCAACTATGTCGTTCACTTAGTACAATTTCACTGTAGTCCTTTCGTTCGTCACTGTCCCTACATCTATCGCCAACAG